AAGAATGAAAAACAAGAGTATGAATCGACTTTAGGAATTTGAATAAAGCTACCCCTAAAGATGAATACACAATGCTTGAGATAGATTTCCTAGTTGATACAGATTACCCCGACGAATATTCTATCTATGATGATTGGATATGCTAGTTACAACCAAATCTCCATTATAGAAGAGGACATCCATAAAATAACATTTAGATGTCTAGGCTATGTTGGAGCTTATAAGGGGTTGATGATGCTCTTTAGGTTGAAAAATAATAAGGCCACATACTAGGGAGCATTAAATACGATTTTCCATTACTTAATTGAGAGAAAAAACATGGACAAAGCACTCGATAGAGTTAATAATTATAATCAAAATAGGAGCTAAACATGTCAATCAACCAGCTAGAAGAATAGTTAGATAGATTTTGCAAACCTTAAAAGATAAAATACAAAAGCTATTTAATGCTAGTTTCATTCATACTCGTAAGATATGCTAAATGGATATCTAATATAGTTCTAGTGGTAAAAAAGAATGAAAAACAAGAGTATGTATCGACTTTAGGATTTTGAATAAAGCTACCCCTAAAGATGAATACACAATGCTTGAGATAGATTTCCTAGTTGATACAGTTACCAAGACGAATATTCTATCTATGATGATTGGATATTCTAGTTACAACCAAATCTTCATTATAGAAGAGGACATCCATAAAATAACATTTAGATGTCTAGGCTATATTGGAGCTTATAAGGGGTTGATGATGCTCTTTAGGTTGAAAAATAATAAGGCCACATACTAGGGAGCATTAAATACGATTTTCCATTACTTAATTGAAAAAAAAACATGGATAAAGCAACTGATAGAGTTAATAATTATAATCAAAATAGGAGCTAAACATGTCAATCAACCAACTAGAAGAATAGTTAGATAGATTTTACAAACCTTAAAAGATAAAATACAAAAGCTATTTAATGCTAGTTTCATTCATACCGTAAGATACGCTAAATGGATATCTAATATAGTTCTAGTGGTAAAAAAGAATGAAAAACAAGAGTATGAATCGACTTTAGGAATTTGAATAAAGCTACCCCTAAAGATGAAAACGCAATGCTTCGAGATAGATTTCCTAGTTGATACAATTACCAAGACGAATATTCTATCTATGATGATTGGATATGCTAGTTACAACCAAATCTCCATTATAGAAGAGGACATCCATAAAATAACATTTAGATGTCTAGGCTATGTTGGAGCTTATAAGAGGTTGATGATGCTTTTTAGGTTGAAAAATAATAAGGCCACATACTAGGGAGCATTAAATACAATTTTCCATTACTTAATTGAAAAAAAAAAACATGGACAAAGCACTTATAGAGTTAATAATTATAATCAAAATAGGAGTTAAACATGTCAATCAACTAGCTAGAAGAATAATTAGATAGATTTTACAAACCTTAAAAGATAAAATACAAAAGCTATTTAATGCTAGTTTCATTCATACTCGTAAGATACGCTAAATGGATATCTAATATAGTTCTAGTGGTAAAAAAGAATGAAAAATAAGAGTATGAATCGACTTTAGGAATTTGAATAAAGCTACCTCTAAAGATGAATACACAATGCTTGAGATAGATTTCCTAGTTGATACAGTTACCAAGACGAATATTCTATCTATGATGATTGGATATGCTAGTTACAAACAAATCTCCATTATAGAAGAGGACATCCATAAAATAAAATTTAGATGTCTAGGCTATGTTGGAGCTTATAAGGGGTTAATGATGCTCTTTAGGTTGAAAAATAATAAGGCCACATACTAGAGAGCATTAAATACGATTTTCCATTACTTAATTGAAAAAAAAACATGAAAGTATACATAGATGACATTGTAGTCAAATTAAAAGATTAACAAAAGTATAAGGATGATATAAGGTAGCCTTCTTGAGAATGAGGAAGTACAAATTAAAGATTAATTCATTAAAATGTACTTTTGGCGTCTCTTCGTACAACTTCTTTAGATTTTTGATCTATAACAAAGGCATAAAGGTATAAAAAAAATTATAAAAGCAAAACCTCTTATAAATAAGGCTGAATTTATAAATTTCTATGGCTCTATTGGCTATCTAAGCTAATTTATTTTCAATTTTGCAAAAAAGCTAAGGTTTTCACATTTTTGCTAAATCTAAAAAAAACAACAAAACAAAAAAACCAAAAAACCAAAAAAAAAAAAAAAAGAAAAGAAAAGGGAAAAGAGTTTGTATAAAGACTAGAACCTCAAGAAGCATTTGATAAAACCAAAGAATATTTATCAAATCACCCTCTCTTAATCCCTCTAAAGCAAGAAATTTCATTGAATTTGTACATTGCAACAATAAAAAAACTCAATTGAGAGCTTGTTCGCTCGGGATAATGAGCATAGTTAGAAATAAGCCATATTTCATGTAAGTAAAGCATTGAATGATGTTGAAAGTAATATTATCCTATTAAAAACTTATGTGTGTTCTTATATCACACAACTACTAAATTGAGACATTACTTGATGTCATATTTTATACATGTAATTGCTTAGACCGATGGGATTAAGTATATGTTAAATAGACCAATCTTTTTACATATAAAATTGAACATACATGCACAAAAAGAATTATTTCTTTTCACATATGGGAAAAGACTTCTATATTTGAAAAGAAAGGGGTTAACTGTTAAACCCAAAATTATTCTACACCTTGGCCCTATAAATCAAATAGAAAAGATGGATAAAACCCATCAAGTTTTTCAATGAGTTTTCTTAATCTCCTTTTTGATTGACTTTACATAGAAGCTTATTGAAAATTTTCTATTAAAAAAAGACATCTCTAATTACTAAGCCTAACATACGTGCTTGGTCTAATATTTCAACCTAGATAAAACTACTAGTAGGGATGGCGATAGGGTGGGTGGAGGCGAGGATCGCCATCCTCGTCCCTACCCCGCCTCGAAAATTTTGCCCCATCCCCGCCCAATGCCTTAAACGAGGATCACCGTGGGGCATCGGCGGGCAAACGAGGCAAAAAAATATTAATTTTTTTTTCTTGTCTCATCTTATCCCATTTTACTATCAAATCTCAAACTACGACAAAAAATGATAGTTCAAACGTAAAATAAACCTTAAAAGTCATTAGTCACATATTTTATATAGGGTATAATCATAATTGTAAGGATGAAAATCATGAAATGGGGTAAACGAGGAAAATAAAATGGAAAAATATCATCCTCGTCCCATCCCCGTTCATGGGGCCCTCGCCCCGCCCCATTCCTCGATCAACGTGGGTAATCCTTGCATTGACCGGGGTGAAACAAGGTGGGATGGGATAGAGGCGTGGCAAATTGTCATCCCTAACTACTAGAACTCCTTCCATGAGCCAAAGAGAAACGGACAGGAGAAGGACTCTCAATAAGGCAAAAGTTGAGGGAAAAAGGTCTTATTTCACCGGTAAAAATAACGAATAACAAGTAGTGTACATGTAGTTAAAAAATAATAAAATTATAGTAGTAATAAAAACACAATCCAAATAGTTAAAAAGAACATGAGAGATTGTAACACAAGAAAAATATAACATGGCGAAAAACATAATGTATTGCAATGTAAGAAAAGAACATATAGCACTATAGTACGTGAAGAAGAGAGTGGTCCATTACTAGAGATCATGCAGGAGAAAGAAGCCTATAAATACTAATTATAATAGAAGAGAAACACACAACAATACAACATATAAGAAATTTTTTACAAATTACAAACAATTCAAGGAGCATTTTTATAAGTTTCATACTTGAAACGTGTTAGGCACTAGCTAGTAAGGAGTAGATTATAAGCGATTGCTTGTAAGCGTAATTTATAGGCTATAACAAATAAGTGATAATATGTAGGTCGGTAGTTGGTTCTTGATCCTCTTTTCGTGATCACAAGAGTCACTATTCCCGGTTCCTTTAAGATCCGTCATGTCTAGAGTGTCAATTTATGAATATTCATAATTTTCTTTGACTATAAGTTCGTTGTTTTTAGCTTTGTAAAGACTATAGTATTGCGTTATAAAACTTTAAAGTTCATAATCGCAAGACTTTCATTCATATTGCACACATGTAGTTTCTACTAGTTTAATAATTTAATTCTTTAGTTTGAAGTTTAATTTTATTATTTTGATTACATATTGAGGTAGAAAGCTCAATTATTACTTTGAATCATCTTTAGTTTTGAGTATTATCTTTGTCTTTGTAATTCTACATCCCAACCGACTTAAGAGATTAGGATTCTTTACCAAGGGTTTCTAAGCTTTTTGCAACTTGTTTAATTTGGTTGTTACAACATAAAATATGAAAAACATCTTTAAAATTAATAATACTTTACATTGCAAAATTAATTGGGTTCGTCTATCTATACGATTAGGAGATTAAGTGTCCTATAAAACATGTCCCAATTATTATTTATATCTTTTTATTACAAAGTCTTTTTAATTGAGGTCGGTATAAAAAAACCTATAACAAAAGGTTTGCATTCAATACACATACTGTGAGGTTAATCGATGTGCAAATTAGCTTGTTAATTTTGATCATTCAAAAAACAGAGTTCATCCTCTTTTTGATCATCTTATTAGTTTATCTTCTTTGTTATGTTTCTTTTAATGCAATTAATATAGGGTGATGTAGTAATAAGTCATGTTAAGCATCCAATATTGTGAAGATACATGTCAATCAAATGTTTTAATTGAAATTTGTAATGGAAAAACTCATCAGAGTTGAATGGAAGAACCGATTTTTGACCCCAAACCAAAAGCCTACTCAATTGCGTTGTTTTGAATAACAATGCCTCATGTGCCAAACTTGCAATAGTTGAGGGACTATAAATGACATTAAATAGTCATTTTAAGGTAAGAAACTAAACGACATCGTGTACGCGGAGACATACGGATGCTGATTGCTGAGTAGTCTTGTCAAAGAAAGACCTACTTTTGTTGCAGAAACTGAAGAAGAAGAAGAAGATGGGAAGCGAAGAGCAGAGAAAGAAAAACCCTAAGAAGCAAAAGTTACCAATCAACCCCAACTGGGCTCAGCTCCAACAAGTAGCTCCTTCTCTCTGTCTCTCTCTACTCTTCCATCTGCATATGTGTATATACTGCACATGTTCTTGATTTTATTCCTTGCTTATATAATTTCTTGGTTTATGCAGAAGCTGCAAATTCATGGTTCTAGGCCTCCAAAACTCTCAAATACAGAGACCCAAAATTTTATTTTAGGTAATGCCAATTATTGTCTACTTCTTGTTTTGCATAGCCAAACTACTTGTTTTTTTTTTTTTTTTTTTTTTGCAAACAGGAACCTGTCCTTATATTTTCTAGATTGGTTGAATGAACTTTCAATTTATAGGTTTTCTTATAAAATTTCTTGCTCATTGCTTGGTTGGTGCTTTGGGATTAAACTTTGAGTTTACCACGCTCCTCTTGCTCTTGGCTAGTTTTATGGTTTCAGAATCAGAATAGTATATCTGTTTCATTGTCTTTAAGGTTTCCTGTACGGTAACTTGTGCTTGCAAGAGCAACGAATTCAGTTTGCTTTTTTGTTTCAACTTTCAAGAGCTAACTATTTGTCTGTTGCTAGTCATATTGTTCCCATGTTTATATCGATTTTTTTGGTTTAAAGATTGTTGGTAGTCTGAGATTGATTAAGAATGTTCATACTTCCATAAGTCGGAGCACTTTTTCATTATGCAAATGTGTTTGTTGACCTTCAACTCTTTCCCCTCTTCCATGTGTTTTAATGGTCAATTTTTTCAAGGAAAAGGAAGAATTTAAGAACTCTAATGTTGTTTATTTAGCACATTGGAATTGTTTCTCTTATTTAATAACTTGAACAAATGAAAATACTTTCCTTCTAGAAGCCAGCACAATAGTTAGCATATGCTAGTAAAGGGTTGTCCTTCTTCTCTTTTATCCTTTTATTTTATTTTATTTTATTTTTTGGTTCTTTAATTTCTTTTGTTCTCTGATTTTGGCATGATTTTAGTTGCAAAGGGTTGTTTGCTTTTAGAGATCTATGCTGTTTACCTTTCAAAAAAGCATGAAAAGTACTTTGACCATGCATCCGAATGATGCCTCAATTTCACTTTCTAACATTATTTGGCTTTGAGACTATTCTCCCTACAGGGAAACGTAAAGAGAGACCTGATGCAGAGTCTGACGATTATCAGATAAATCCTCTCACTCCAACCAATGACGATTTGAGGTGTTTTTTTCTGTGACACACCATTGCAGTGCATGACATGCCATAGCATCAGGATGCTTTATCTTATAAAACTTCAATCAGAACTTAGAAGTGTGGCTTACACATTGTTCAACATCTTTTGAATCACAATATATTCTTGTTCTATATGCTTCTGAGTTGCTGATCACCCCTTGTTTATGTTGGAAAATAGAAACTTTAATTTCTGACCTTCTGCTTCTGAAAGTAAGAAGAAAAGGTTAGCAAATTTGCATCTCTTTTATGCTTTTAGTGGCTAGCGGACAAGATTTATTAATATCTGACATCATAACATGGGTATCAATCATTGTCATGCCATTTGCATAACCAATGTTTTGGGCTTCTATTATGCAATTCGCACAATAAGAAACTCTATTTATTATGGCTCATTACCATGTTTCCCATTGATTTTCTTGTGTCACATGGCTTACTTAACTAATCAATTATCACAGCATTACAGATGCAATAGCCATGGATTGTGAAATGGTTGGTGTTGGTCAAGGAAACAGAAGTGCTCTTGGACGAGTCACACTGGTATATCAATTCCCTTTCTTGCCTCTTTTTATATTTTTTTTTTTTCGCTAGAGTTTACTTTAATACATAACTAAGATCATTAGGAAAACTCTAATTACATGCAAACTTGAAATTGCAGTGGGGATTGTCACATATCAAAGAGCTCATTGTTTTTAATACACAATTAACACTGATTTGGTTGTGGATTCCTTTTCTAAGCTATAATTACTGTTTATCTATTCTAGATGGCAGTATCTTTCACTATCAAGCATTCGACCTTGACTGACCTTTTCCTGTTATTGGCAATCTAGTAGGACCCATTATTGTTGTTTAGTTTTTCTTGTTGGCACTGAAGAGTTCTCCATATTCAACCACATCCCATTAGCCCACAAAACTTCTGCAAATCATAAGACTTGATCTTAGAGCTTCTTGTGTGAGTTGTGAGTTAGACTCTGCTAAGCCAAGACAAAGTACTTGCTTACAAGGAGTTCAACACCAACTTGTCACTTTGTTTTGACCAACAATTTTCATAGTATGCTTTACAACAACCAAGGAAGTTTGAATTCAAATAAGTGAAGGATTTCTCAACTTCTTTTTTGGACCAACCTCACTGACTTAAGCATGGATGCATGTTTTGAAATATATAGGGTGAAAAGTGATGTCCAGTGATATTTTGTGCTGGAGAAATTAGACATTGTCAGTTCCATTGGAACATTTACGACTACATGTTATTTTATTTTTATATTATATATTTTTAAGGTTGTGAGTAAAAATAACATTATTTCACTGCATGCCAGGTCAATCAGTGGGGAAATGTTTTGTATGATGAGTTTGTTCGTCCAGTAGAACGTGTTGCTGACTTCCGCACGCAAATTAGTGGCATTCGACCCCGAGACTTAAGGAAAGGTTGATATTGTCTATTCTCTTTCTGCTATCTTTCTGATATGTGTGTGATTTTTTCCTCTCACACACTGGGTTTAACATTTATTATTTATTAGAGGTTAGTTTTTTTTTTTTTTTTGGAATAGTTTTAACTGAGTTCCCTGAAAAAGACAGTTCCAAGCATTGTTGGATATGCTTTATTAAATGCCTAAATTAACTCTGGATAATTGATAAACTCCTTTTTCCCCCTTAAGTAAAGCCTTAAAAATATTATATGGTATGGTTTTTATTTTTCATCCCTGCAAATATCTCCTTTCCCATTGACAGTTGAAACAGAGTGAACCTACCTCATGAACATGCAGATGAATGGTGTCTCCTTCCTCTCTGGGAAGGGGAAATCAATGTCGATTGCAAACAACGTGAACAAATAAAACACTGAGAATTGCATATGTGACTGTTTGCAGCCTTGAAATCATTCTAGCATTTATGGATTTACCACCTTATTCAGTGGAATGGTTGTTCTAAACTATTTTCTTTAAATTTCCATGAGAAAGGAAATTGGTCAACAAGTTGTCAGAAGACTATCCAACGTAGTAACCTTTCAATTTTCATACGAGCATAGCCAAATTAATGATTCTATGTTTTAGTTCATACAATTAGGGAGATGGTATGGATTCTGAATTAATTATTTGGTTTATTTGTATGGTGTCCATAATTCATACATAGTAGAAGTTTTTCTATAACATCAGAATAACGTTAGCTATTAAGATATGAGAAGAAATTGGTACCTCAAATATAGTTTATAAAGACAATACTTTAAAGATGCACTGACAGTTATAGAATCCTTTGATGTTATTTGCAGCAAAGGATTTTTCGACTGCTCAGAAGAAAGTGGCACACTTGATCAAAGGAAGGATTCTTGTAGGCCATGCCTTGTCCAACGATCTTAAGGTTTAATACATCTGGTTTTGTTAATATGTTTAGCTATAGCGTGAATCTACAAATATGGATTGAATTTTATATTTTATTAAATAAAAAAACAGGCATTGCTGTTGAGTCATCCCAAGAAGGACATGCGGGATACTTCAGAATATCAGCCATTCCTCAAGTACCTATATCCCCTCATGTTTCATGACTGATTTTTCAATGCCATTATTATTATTCTACATGCCATGATAACCATATTAACATGAGTGGTTGTCAAAGCAGGGGACGACGCAGAAAGGCACTCCGGCATCTTGCAGCAGAGTTTCTTGGTGCCAAGATCCAGACTGGAGAACACTGCCCTGTAAGTTGTTCAACTTTTTCTTGGAGATCACATCATCTTTTACTCACATATGAAGTATATTTGCAAGTTATCATAGATTGTATAGAAAATAGCTCTACGCCAGAGTGAGGCTATTGTTTTTGGGTCTCAAATAATACAACTGGTATCATGACCAATGAGTCCCAGATATTATTGAATTACTTCCCAACCACATTACCTGCAATCTTTGCAGTTTAAGCATGCAAATATTTTTGACTGACTTCCCAATTGCCTTCATGGATTTATTAATTTATTTCTGAGTTTGATTTAAACTCTGAGGGGAATCACTGGGTGGGATTTGTCATCTAAATTCCTTGCCGAGGCTCAAGATTGCTCAAGCATTTTATGACACCACAGAATAATGTCAATTGAATCCTTTAAATCGCCCTATGGACCTAGTGCAACTGACTGTCATTATCAATTTTGATTAGATAGAGGATGCCCGTGCTGCAATGCTGCTATACCAGAGAAACAAAAAAGAATGGGAGAAGAGTATTAGAGTTCAAATGAGACTCAAGACAAAAACAGAACAAAAGCAAGCAAAAAGGGAAAACAAATGAGGGAGATGCTCCATACGTCAACCATGTTTCAAGTACATCCTAGCATTGATTGCCAGTTAATGGTTCTGCTAACATTTTGGAAGGTGCTTGTACAAGTTGGAATTTCACTTCAAAGTAGTTCAACACGTTAGCTTCCAGATTGTGAAAGAAGATGGAGCAGCCGGCATTACCATTCAAGATCCAGCTCCTTTATTAAACAAATGGGATACGCATAATCTCAGTAGTCCGATGGTGATTCTGTTTGGCTGAAAAGAACTGTTCGCCACCCTCAGTAAAAGAAAATTTTGCTTGTATTGATTCAGAATATACTGTTTTGTTTTGTTTTGTTTTTTTGGCCCTTTTCCTTCTCTATTGATTTATGGAAAGAGAAGGTGAACAGCGAGTTATACAATGTTAGATAGCCATAAGCCTACTGCTCCATATTTTAAATTTGAGAATTGAGATCTTCTGTTAAATTCGCATTCAAACATCATTTTATGGAAAACACTTTGGCATAGATCGGTTGTAAGTCTCTTGGAAACTTTGTGCGCATTCCTACAGAAAATGTTTTGTTTGTAAACAAGGAAAAAAAGTCATCACCCTAGGCGTATGCAACTACGAATGCGAATGATTGAAGAAGAACATTCACAAGAAGACAGATTGAGGTTTTTTTCTCTGAAATGTTTGAGACTTTATTGATAAAAAGTTATAAATTTAAGATTCAATTGAAAATAAGTATATAAATTGGGGACTGAAATGAGGTTTTGCGAATAAATTATTTTAAAGAGAGATATAAAAAGAAATCAATTGAACTCACCAAAAATTACAAAAATATTTTCATTTAAATTTAATTTTTTTAATGCTCTATCTTTTTTTGTGGAAAATAAATATGATTGATTATTCTCGAATTAAAATAAAATTTCTTGGCTATGTTGTTCTCCATTTTTTCTTCGTCTTGGACAAGGAAATATGACGTTTTTTTTATCATTAAAAAACATAAATCAAAAATAGAAAAAGAGAAAGTAAAGAAAAGTCATCGCTTCGTGTCAGGTGTCGACAGAAAGGGCTGTCCAGAGAATTATGAGATCACTATAAAATCCCTATCGAAAGTCCCATTCCTCTTTCTTCCTCCTCTACCAAAACCCAACTTTTCTCTACTGGTTGAGGTACGCTTTTCTTTTCTTTCCTCTATCTCATTTATTTCATTATTTGATAATTTTTAGCAATTATTTTGCCGGTTTGTTTTTCTAGCTAGGGCTTATGGTTTCCTTTACTCCCATCTTGTTCTTTCTATTCAGCTATATATATATATATATATATATATATATATATCCCCCTTTTCCTTTAATGATTTCTTTTGAAGAAAGACAGTGCTTGCTTTTATGTTACTTTTATTATGTGCTTTTGTTACTGGCAAAAGTTATGGAAAAAAGCGGAGAAAAATCCTTATGTTAGGCTTGTTTATGTTGTATTTTTTGGATCATTTTTTCCGGATTCAAAAGAATAGGTCTGCTTTTATGTGCTTTTATATAAAACTGGAATGTTGCAGAAGGTTATTGCCCATTTGGCTACTCGGGTGTTAAATGCCTTCTGGATGTGAAAATGAATTGAAGTTAGGAAAGAGTTAGTAAACAGCTTTGATTTTCATTGCTTTATATGTATGAAGATTGCTTCTTTTTTGTTGTTGTTAATTTCACTTAAATCTTATTATTCTGGCTGTTTATTGGATGCAAGATTGGTTAAGGATATGTTCTGATGAGATGAATGATTGATGTGGTGTAGATTTGAATTTAGAAATGGGGAAAAGAAAGTCAAGAGCAAAGCCACCACCCAAGAAGCGGATGGACAAGCTTGATACCGTTTTTAGTTGCCCCTTCTGCAACCACGGTACAAGTGTCGAATGTCGAATGTAACTTTCTTTCATTTTCTTTTCCATCTGATTATTGTTCTTGTCTTGTTGGAAATTTATGGGATGTTGCGCTACCACTTTTGGGGAAAATTTTCAATCATTAATTGAGGATCTGTGCCGCACTTGTTATTATGTATTGAAACTAACCCGTTTTCCTTTTTCTTAATTTTTTCTTCAGTGATATGAAGAACTTGATTGGTGAGGCTGTGTGTGGGATTTGCCAGGAGAGCTTCAGCACAACCATCACAGGTATTTTGCACTGTACTTTATGAATGCCAAAAGTAGAAGAAACTCCTTAACTAGAAGTAGGGGTGTTCCAAACTCATACGTGAAGGTAGATTCTGTATTTCAAAAAAAGGTGATGGGAATTGGAAATGCTTAAATCAAATTTCTTTAAATGATATATATATTTGCTTATTTGCCGATAGTTCAGAGGATGATAATGCAAAATTTCAAAGCTGAATCACTTGATAGTTTTTTTAATTTGGAATAAGTTTAATTTTGATCTCAAGATGTGTAGGATCTTGAGATCTTGGTAGCTCTTTTAGGGTCATATTTAATTCAACTTGGTGAATTCTAGTTTATTTAGGTCAATGCAACTTCATTTTGAGAAGTTAAATCAATTTAGATAACAAGCTGAAATTAATACTGAGATTTAATTTATAAACAGTCACACCGCTCTATGATGCGTAAAAATTTTTTTTGAATAACGTCATGATGGTACCATTATGACTTAATACAGCATCGAGTTCTGTGCCAGGAAACACATTTTTAATGCTTACAAAATCGAAGAGAATATGAAAAAAAAAAATGAACACAGAGAAGGAAATGATTAGGTATGAAAAATAAGAAGGGGATGGTAAGGATGGAGAGAGGTCCATAGGAGAGGAGAGAAGATAAAATGAGAAAAGTGGGAAAGAGAGACAGTGAAGCATATCTTCACTTGTTAGATGGTCACGGCCGAAGAATTCTGACTCCTTATTGGATGCTCTAAAATAATATCTAAGGTTGTAGTCTTTCTTCTCCATCCTTGAGTTGCCATCCTAACAGTTAAAAGTTGCACCACCTTAGTAATGCATATGCCACTAGCATGTAAGTGTGATACTTGAAATCTGAGTTAAAAACAATAGAACATACATTACGTTGCTGTCTCCATGCTTTGCATGATTTGAGATTAGCCTTGCAACTTTAAATCCGTGATTTAGACTCCTTGAACTATATTTTTCTTCTTGTTGGAATCATCAACATCATCTAGGCTGTTGAGGATTTGACAGCATAAAGTGCATACGACATCAAATCTCAGAGTGAAAACCTTGCAAAAACCACCACCCCTTGTATTTACAGCAACAAACCAAAGTTTGCACAGGTCCAATTACTTTTTATTCCAAAGACACCATAAGGATAGCATTAACAAAATCAAAACGTCAAAAACAAAAAGACCTGTTGAAATAAGACATGGCATCCAACAACCACCCAAAAACCCAACTAAACTCTTGCTGCAAAGCATGCTCAATATTAGTCACAGTTCGATCATGAATGACTTCGCAAGTTATTTAGGGAATCCCAGGGTTTAAAAATTTTCCAGAATTTAAGGGAAATACTGTGATGTAGAAAATGGGCAAAGAGAAGGCTGTCATTAATTTTATGGAACGTAGACATGAGTTTTTCTTGAACATACAAGAAAATCAGTTGACATGACTTTTTCTTGAACATACGAGAAAATCCATAATTCAGGATTGAAAACCCATTATTTAGAGACTTTTAAGATTTCCTACACCTTGGACAGTTAAGGATGGTGAACGGGACCGGATTTTCTATTTTCCTGTGAGGTATAAGTGCCTTGGGAGTGCATGGGTGTTGATTTGTCTGAAAATTTATGAACAGAAAACATTATTTTGTCCCCTGTGCCTGGTTGTTGTGGTGCATGTAGATGTAGTCAAACACATGATAGGCAAGTTTAAATTTGATCAACTCTAGAGTCCTGCAAATAGGAGGAGCCTAACAACATATTTAGTTCTTCGACAATTTCCCCTCATATCTTTCAACCTTCTTTTAGGTTGAGATATTGAATATGCAATCCTTTAGCCTATTGGGACTTCCTAGCTTGTAGACAAACCATGACAATTAAAAATCCATTGGAAATAGCTCGTGTGTGTTCTTATGTAGTCAACTACTGCCTATGGATTCTGTGATGTTTTCAAATATGCTTCCATTAGTGGTTCATTTTTTCCAACGAAAGGTTGTGATGCTTCTTATATGACCTGTGAGGTTTGACAAGTGTGACTAAGTTTTATTCATTAACGAGTTTTGCAGCTTGATAAAGTCATGATTGTTCAGGCTGCAATTTTTATTTTTAACTTGTGCTCCCACCCATTTATCTGCCCCTTTCTTTGACGTGTGAGAACATAGTGAACTACTAACCTTCCTTTTCTGCCTTGTTTTTGCAGCTTTGACTGAGCCAATAGACGTGTAAGTTGAAATACATATTTGCTTAGAACAAGACCAAAATTTCTCGATATTTACTTTTTCCTAACCTTAATACTTTTTTTACTGCAGATATAGTGAATGGATTGATGAATGCGAAAGGGTCAACAACCTGGAAGATGGTGGTGCTTAGCCAGTTTGTGTGACAAATTAGATGGCTATATTCTCTTACGCCGATATAGATAAAGCTTGAATTTAAGAAATCATTATATTAAAATATCCTTTGGATAGAATCTCAAGGACCGTTTCGTGGGGCTCACTACTCTGAAAGCTACATATGCATAGTGCATGTCTAGTAGAGTAACTCTTGGTCCACGGCATGCTTGATAAATGAACCTTGTATCTTGTGTCTTCGGTATGTAAGGATGATGAACTTCCATCTGTGTGCTCTGTGGGTATAAAACACTCAATAAACAGTGCTTTTCTCTTTCGGGGAAATGCTGTATCTTGTATAAATTTGTCTTTTAATGCACTACATCTGTATGTCCAAGCTTTTATCTGGCTAGATTAGAGCTCGACAGGTTTTGGAGTTACAAGTTACAGCAGTTGGATTTTTTTGGCTTAGAGAACTCTATGTTTTTTGCAAGGGAAAAAAGGGTTCAGAAGAGTGAGCTCTTCACAATTTGAGTAAAACAAATAAAATCTTGTAACCTCCAGTTTTCATAATTTTTTTATATATAAAAAATCCAAAAATTTGCATTCTATATGGTTTTTTTTTTTCAAATTTTAATCGTATTTTATGTCTTTGGTTTATTTTTTGCGAGTCTCCTAAAAAGAAAAGAAAGTCGAGCAAAAATAAGAATGATAGTTGTTAAAATTAATAATGGTAGTCGAAAAAAAAGAGTAAAAAATTGAGAAAAAAAATAATTAGTGATGTGTTATCGAATAATAAATGTTTATATGATTTTCATATCTTGACTACTCATAGTTTTTAATATGATTTAATTTATTGTTCAATGTGAGAAATTGAAAAGTTGTTGCAATTTATTCAATAATTTATGTACTTTTAATTACTTATAGTTCTTTTCAATTCTTTTTCTAATTTTGAAATCTATAATTGTTCATTAGTTAGCATATAAGTATTTTTGTAAAGATTGAGAGAATAATTTGTAGTTTTTATCACTTGTATTAGCTTTATTTTATAGTGAATTCATTTCCTACCATCTTTATTTTCAATTCTATAATTGTTATTATTTCTTTTATAACACGTTATCGGCACGAACTTCTAACCAATCGAGATAATAGACTATGAGGTATATATCTACCAAAAGACTCAATCATTTGCTTCAATCATTGAATTTTTTTATATACAAGTGCTCTAATAAAAGATCGGAATTATCTAGATGATCAAAAGGTATGTATCTAATTTATTGTTTACTTTAAATCTAATAATACATAGAGTATATATTTGAAAAACTTGAATGATTTAATATATAAAATTTAATGATCTAATGTATATTGTTTGAAAAGTTTTAATTTTATTATTATATTTATTCTTATTTTCTAACATTATTAATATATATTGCATTATAGAATTTTTATCATATCAAACCTCATAAACTTGATTTTGTGGCTCTTGATATTTCGAACAAGAATTATTAATTATGAGTGCTAGATTCTAAGAAAATATTTTTCTTGCCTCGAACATAATCCCGTAATTGCAATATCGAGGAAAGGATTTTAAAAATATTTTGAATTGATTTCATGTTTCGAACAAAATAACAAGTTATTGATGAAAAATCATGAATTTCGTCTAACCGATTCTACTCCATTCTCTAAAGCGAACATGACAACTTATGATAATTCTGGACATAAATGTAAGCATAGCCATAACCATTATCATGGAATAATTATCGTATAATTATGGTGCTCATAATAATACACCATACCACAAATAGTGAACGTACTATAGTAGTCATAATAATACACCTTATCACCGGATATGGATAAATTATAGTGATCACAATAATACATCTTACCATCATAAGTGGACAAACTATAAAAATAAATAAATAAATAAAAGTGGATTAAGTCATTATTTTGAAAATAAATGTTATTGGTATCGCATAGAGGGACAATGATCGCATATTTGTCGTGCATCGAAACAACTTGTTGAGCTTTATCAAGCAACATTGAAAAGAAAGAGTAAGATATAAAGACTAATTTTATATATCAAAATTATGATAATTGAAATTAATAACTTGTTTGTTTTTCTATTTATCAATAAAATATTTTATATTTTCTTATATTTTTTATTGCATAGAGATAGATATAAATTTATTTATTTATTTGTGTTTATAAAGAATATATATATATATTTCTTGCTTATTTATATAATTATTTATTTTATATTAATATTATATATGATAATATCAATCTAATAGAAAGCTCTAGAAGAGCGATTATATTATTACATGAATGGATAAATTTTGAAAGCTCTAGAAGAGATAATACATTATTATTTGAAAATGCAAGTTTTAAAGACTCTAGAAAAGAATATATTATTACTTGAAGTGATAGAATTTAAAGGCTCTAGAAGAACAAATATATTATTATCTCGAAAGGATAAATTTATTATAAATGATACATTATTCTCTCTAAAGTCTCATAGAAATTTATTGAGCTTCAAATACATTCGTGTAAATAGAGATCATATCAAGACAACAAATGTTGAAAATATAGAATTCTTGAATATTATAATTTCATAGGATAGAAAATATATGTTGGAGAAGTTACCCGCTTTCTCTTGTAGTCATTATTACAAACATTGAAATGATTGAAACAAATGTTATAATAAACTAAAAATTTATTAATTTAAATACTTTTATTATATAACATAACCGATTAGGTTATCTTGGATCTTTCATGACGTAAAAAATTATTAAAAATTCATATGAACATCTATTGAAGAGCCGGAAGATTCTTTAATTTAATAAATTTTCATGTTCCGCATGTTCTTAAGATAAATTGATTATTAAGCCATTTTCAAGTAAAATTAAGATTGAATCTCAATAATTTTTATAACGTATTTAAGGTGATATATATTGATTAATTTATCCACCATGTTGACCATTTAGATATCTTATGGTTTTAATGGATGCATTAACAAAATGGTCACATGTATGTTTATTGTCTACTTGAAACCCGATGTTTTCGATATTGCTAGCTTAAATAATTCAAAACGAGCATAATTTCTAAAATATGTCATTAAAATAATTCATCTTGATAATGCTAGTGAGTTTATCTCTCAAGCATTAAATGACTATTGATTGGCTATTAGAATAAAGGTTGAAAAACTTATTACTCATGTTCATGCTCGAAAGGTTTAACAGAATGATTCATCAAAAGTTTTTATTTGATAACTAAAACATTATTTATAAAAACAAAACTCCCTATTTAAGTTTGGGGACATGCAATCTTACATGTAACAACACTTATTTACATCGGATCCATAAGTTATCGAAATTCTCCCTCTTTTTATTGGTAAATGGTCATGAGCCAAATATTTTTCATCTAAGAATTTTTTTATTGTGTAGTATATATCCTTAATGCTCCTCCACAACAAACTAAAATAGACTATTAGAACGAGATTAAGAATATATATTGGATTTGAATCCTCTTCAATAATTAAATATTTTAAACCATAAATAAGGAATATTTTTACAGTTTGATTTGTTGACTACCATTTTGATCAAATAATTTTTCCAACATTGGAGGAGATAATAAGCAAAATAAGTAGTTGAAAATATTTAAAAAAGATATTATATAGAGTTTTTCATCTTTACATAATCTTGATTCTCACACAAAACAATGTGAACTAGAAGTTTAGAAGATAATTTATTTACAAAGTATTGCGGACTAACTACTAGATATATTCTCAAATATAATATATATATATATATATAAAAGAGTAACTAAAATGCATATCCTCGCCGAGAATGCTCATATTAAAATTCATGTCCGAGAAGGACGATCTATTGATGTTATAACAAATGAATCTAAAGCATGCTTGAAGCGTGAAAGATCGATCGATTCTAAGATAAAAATCCTCGAAAGAAAGGGCAAAAATCAAGATGAAAATATAAGGGCTACAAGTATTCATAAAATAGTCCAAGATATTTATGATAATAGGCTTTCGAAGAAGTCCAAATGATTAAGAACAATAAAGAGATTTTGATAAATTATGTCAATACATGGAGCCAAATATTTTTCATCTAAGAATTTTTTATGTGCGGTATATATCCTTAGTGCTCCTCCACAACAAACTAAAATGGACTCGTTAGAACAAGTTGAGAATATATATTGAATTTGAATCCTCTTCGATAATTAAATATTTTAGACCATGAATAAGGATTATTTTTACAATTCGATTTGTTGACTATCATTTTGATGAAATTGTTTTTCCAACTTTAGGAGAGAGAGAGTAAGCAAAATAAGTAGTTACACATGCTGAAAAAAGATATTTCATAGAGTGTTTCATCTTTACATAATCTTGATAACTAGAAGTTTAGAAGATGATTTATTTACAAAGTATTGCGGACCAATTGCTAGATATATTCTCATATAAAAAAAGAGTAACTAAAATGTATGTCTCGCTAAGAATGCTTATATTAAAATTAATGTCCTAGAATGATAATCTGTTAATGTTATAACAAATGAATCTAAAGTATGCCTGAAGCGTGGAAAACCGATCAATTCTAAAGACAAAAATCCTCAAAAGAAAGGGTAAATAATCAAGATGAAAATATAAAGGATACAAATATTCATAAAATGGTCCAAGATATTTTTGATAATAGGCTTCGGAAGAAGTCCAAATGCTTAAGAACAATCAAGAGATTTTGATAAACTATGTCAATACATGGAGAAAATAGGACAAAAAAAATATCTATTGATAACTTTTTTGCATATAATATTACAATTGATATTTTGAATGAAAATAAGGATCCTAATCCTAAATTTATTGAAGAATATCAGCATAGAGATGATTGGGGTAACCGAAAAAGAGCAATCTAGAAAGAAATATATTCTCTTATAAATGAGTAGTGTTTTAACCCATAGTTAAAACACTCGAAGATGTTAAGTTAGTGAATTACAAATGGGTAGTTATGCGAAAACAAAATAAGAAAGATGAGA